AAAATAAGAATAAAAAATTTTAAATCCGGAACGAAAATCGGAAGTTTGTTGAAAATCATAATGTTACCTGAAAGCGTCAAAGTGCAAATCGGGATGGATACAAAGGAATTTGCCAATGTAGTCGGACGAATAAACCTCGTTTGCTGGTATAATATAGTATAGCCTGTAAGTTTATTATGATATCCATATGTGTCATTAGCCTTAATGGGAGAAACGATCGATTAAGATATTATGCGCTCCTCTTAGATCATCCACTGATAAAACATGGCTACACTAAATTATACATATGTTGTATATTAAATTACGTTTACAGATTCGTTAAAAATCGTTATCGTGCGGCGTGTAATCGGCACCGTATAAAAAAAGAAATGGAGAAATTACAAAAATACGCAATCCGTGGATATAAGATAATAAAAACAAAAGAAAAAAAGAGAACGATGGGGCAGCATTTAAAAATCGGAAAGACCGTGTGAGGATTGATAGTCACAAATCATTGTACGAGTCAATGTGGATGAGGGGCGTCGTATTCTCTTTTCGCTTTGGTATTTCATGGGTGCGGTGGGTATAGCGCCTGCAATGTTAAACGATTCTCACGTCTTAGCCAGTGCTATCGCATGCTCGGACTTTCTTTCCGAATCATTCAATATGTGGTAAAATCCTCGACGTAGCGACATTAATCCCAACAACGACAGATTTACTTTGTATCAACATCAATTTTTTTCATAGTTGCGAATGTTCCAGATGCGCATTACTAAAAATAGAATATTTCTCGCGAATTATTAAAAATTACAAATTATTTTGTTATTCGCTTTATGATTTTGATCGAATTGCGCGTTTCCTGAATGCTTTGGATTACAAAAAGTATCTATTGAGGCACTATCGGAGAAAATTTCATTAATCTTTCAAAGCGTAGATCTAATTGGATCCACTCTACTGGATAATAAAGATTCTGATAAATAAAAATAATTCAACTTTCTTTTGTGGAATATTGAAATAAAAAATATATTATTATTTGAATTTACTATCGATTCTTAATTTTTGTATCTATTATTGTAGCAATTACACTATTTCACACAAAACGATAAATTTTCTTTATGTTACATCTGTAAAAATTTGGACTGCTCTTATTAAAATAAACTTAATAAACTAATAGTCACTTTATTTTGTACGAATTATGTCATATTTTGATTCTTTGAAATTAATTAGTGCCTTTTAACATATATATTAAATGGATCTCATAGATTCAATATTATAATAACTATTAAGTCCAGTTTCCTTGAGCCTTGGAGATTTTGACGTCAATTCTGAAAGGTTAATGTCCTATGTAAATTGCTACCAATGTAAATTTACTTTAATCTCGGTTTAATTTATCAATTGGAAAAGAATAAAAAGTAAGTTAAGCACTGAGACTAAGAGTCGTTTTTTGTGGATAGTGTACACTTTTGGAACTTAAAGTGAGATAAGTATATATGTAATATTTGGCGAAAGCGAGAGAATTCTAATGCAGTCTAGTGTAGGAATAGAACCTTAAAAAGATTAATTTACATTGGTGAAAATTGTCAACTCGAAGTCTATATTGATGGAATTAAAAGCGAGAATTATTCGGCAACGTTCTCCACGAATATATTAGGTGTAGTAAAAAGAAATCCATTATTTTTCATAAATTTTCAATTTCATGCAAAAATAATGGATTTCTTTTTACTGCACCTAATATAAGGTTACAATCATAAGTGCTAAGATATCGATCCGTGATAAGGATAGCGACAACGCTGGCGACGTCAGAACCACTTAATGCGTGCTAAACATTTAGTCGATATACACATAAAGTGAGGAAGCGTCGCGCGTGTTTAAACATGCGACCTTTAAAATTCGCGCGAATCCTGCCGAGTGAACGGATTTCTTTCGCGAATACGCGATTACACGGTATACATTTCTTTGCGTGTGACGTCGTGTACGTGTATACGATAATCATTGAATCACGAATATAAGTTTCTCCTTTCTCTTCTTCTTTCCACCGATCGATTACAGTGGGAGGGGGAATGACGATGTGGGAATAACATCGAGGTAAGTTGTGGAGAGTATGTTCCTTTTATAATTTTCTTTTCCTTCTTTCCTCTTGTCTCGTCTTGTTGGTACCGGAAGTATATAAACGACAGTAAACGACGTAGCTCGACGACGCCGCGTCAATCGATAAATATTCGCGTCATCGCCGTCGTCGTTGTCGCCGTAAATCACTTAGACCCTTCCTCCTTCTTCTCTCTCTGTTGTCTTTATCTCGAATATATCGAACATCGCTGTTTGGATTAGTTAGTACCTATAATTAAGATCGGCACGCGGTATACATAGTAGTATAATGTATCCTATTACAATAAACCTATCGATAAAGTCGCGGGAACCCTTTTCTTTTTCACTCTCATTCTCACTTCCGCACTACGACGCGAGAAAAAATAGACCTGGATCCATGACCAGGAAGATGTCTTGGGAAGATGAGAAGATTAGCGAGCAGCACGCACGTTCTTCCTTAGATTTTATCCGAGGAATGTCCTAAGAATATCTCTGAGACATTCTGGAAACGATCTCAGAACGTCCTCTGGACATTGCGATAAGATATCCCTTGGAAATTTGTGCTGTATAGATCTCCATTTCTTCTCTTTCTTTCTTTCTTTTTTCTTTTCATACTGACACTCGTTCACACATAAAGGAACCATTGAACGCGCTAGCCATGGCTCGCGACAGTGCTCGTCAAGTGTATAGTGACAATAGCAGGAAAATTCATCATTGGCGTACACATCGGGCACAACGCGTTAAAAAATAAATTATACCATCGTCCAACTTTACAAACTCACTCTTCGATGCTAAACATCTTTCTTGCTCCTTTTCTCTCACACTCTCACATTTCTCTCTCTCTCTCTCTCTCTCTCTCTCTCTCTCTCTCTCTCTCTCTCTCTCTCTCTCTTTATCTCATTTTATTTTTTTTCTCTTATTCTTATCTTCGCTCGATGACTAGAAACATCGCTTCGTGCGGATCACTTGGTAAAAAAATTAGCGAAAATGGAAAACATCTGTAGAAAAAATAAACTCGCCTCCGCGAGGATAGCACCGTGATCTTGGCTCCAACACGGGCCAAATCCAGCGCAATCGCGCGATCATCAATTTAGCTTCTGCGTCGCTATCCCGCGGCGACATTCCTTTCTTCTCGGGCACAATAATTAATACGATACAAGTCCTCGCGACTGGGCGGAGTAACTGGTCGATGGGTGGTCGCGTTTTCGTATATCGTTTTAAATTTACAACACGCCTCCGAAATCAGCGAGACCTCGGGATTTATCTCGATACACGGTTATGATCGGTTTTTGACGGTGCAGCGACGACTCGGGTTTCCGTTTCATTATCGCGTTTCCTCCATGGTGATGATTCACGCGTGCGAGAGGAAAAACGGTTATTGTCAAGTAACATCGTCCGAGAACGACCGCGATTCGAGCGGATCTTACAGACTGAGAGATGTACTTGCTCCAGTAAACACTAACAATGACATTGCATCGATATTATAAATTTCCACTCAACGAATGTGAACGATGTAAACGTTGTATATTACACACGTTGTAGTTACGTAATAGTTACGTTTCCTGTAGTAAGAAATTATAACATTGATGCCATATTATCATTAATTGATTTACTAGATGCATCTCCTTAAAATGTACGCGATATCGCCGATCAACTTGGTATCACTTTCATCGATGGCAACTCAAAAGAGGCAAACCGGAAGACAGGCCGGATAAATCGCCGGCCTGTGTTCCGGTCCAGAAGAACACCAAGCCGGCCAAGCGCGCGTTGATCGTGAATGGTTAGCGAGAGCCTTCCCTCGAAGAGCTCCGCTCGGGTCTATTACAATGACAATCTCAATTGGCTTGTTCTGCACTCTGCGCTTGTTTCTCGATCTTACGCGCAAGTTCGGGACTCATGTGCGGATGCGGGAACGGCAACACCGGTTTGCGCAGGATCGTCGGCTTGACCTTAACCTGCGGCTTAAACGACGAGACCACCTGGCTGCCGCCGGTCAGGTGCATATCGGCGAATTTGGCAACGATCTTAGGAGTGGAGCGTGGTGGTAGAGGTGATCTAAGTAGCATTCCTCCGCCGCTACTGCCGCCGCCACCATCATCGGCGCCGCTGCTGCCGCCGTCAACGACGATCTGATTCGAACTGGTCGATCGAACGATCTCGTCGTTCTCCGCATCGACACCCGTTCCATCGTGCTCCACCGTCTCAATTCGCTTCAACTTGTTATTGCCAGTCGCGGCGATGGCGTTCTCCGAATTCGCAGTCTTCGTATTTTTCTTCAGAGTGCATTGATTTTGCTTGGCAAAGCGTTCAGCGGCGGTACTCATGTCTGGCGACTCCGGACCGCCGGTTGGCGACGTGGCCGCCTCCGATCGGGTAGGTGGCGTCTGTTGTTGCGGCGCTAACAGAGACAACGGCATTGTCGTCTCCTCGTCCGAACTGCTTAGACTGCTGGACGACGCAGACTTTTTGCCAACTGGGTCCTGCGCCGACAACGGCAGATCCATCACCAGATCGGGTGTGTGTTTCTGTCGCATCTCGCGAAACTCCTGAGACGTACGGGAGTAAGACAATGACTTGGGAGTCGACTGCGTCTGCGAGGTGGCGCGACGCTGCCAAAGCTCGCGATTTACTGAGAAATTGGTTGTCTGCTGCTGCTGCTGCTGCGACTCCTGATGTAACTCGTCGTCCTGCGTCACGATGGTCATCGTTGTTGTTGTCGTCGTTGTTGTTGTCATCGTTGTCGTAGTCGTCGGCATCGCCGCTATTGTGACGATCGTTGTCGAGGTCGGCAGAGAGTTTGTGTGCGACAGCTGCAACAGCTGCTGCTGATGCTGCTGCGCCATTACGCTCTCGCCGACGCTCTGCGACTTCCAATACTGCTGTTTTCGGCCAACGCCGCGTTTCGTCACGATACCGTCCAGCGACAACATTGCCGTCAGCACATTGCTACTCAGATCCTCGCTTGTGACTTCCTCGTTGCTATTTCCGCCTCGTTGCTGCTGAGCACAGTTCGCGCTACCGCCATCGATGTTGTCAACGTTGTTCTCCAGAGAGATCTGGAGAACGCTGTCTGCGTTGTTCCTATGTTGCTGCTCCGAATGCATCTCGTTTTCCATAGGGGAAGACGCTCTGACTGGCCTCAACGGAATCACGATGTCAGCCTGCAAACAGTCACGGGAACAATCGTAGCGAGACTTGAAGCGCGCGCTAAGCGAGGGGCTAAATGGGTATATGTTGCCTGAGCGAAGCCGACAGACGGGTCTTGTTTACTATTGCGGGGAATACGCAGATACAACGTCATCTTGATCTATCAGCGATCGTGCGCGCTGTAACGAGATACGAATTATTTTCGAATTATTATCGAATCACCTTCTTTCTTCTTTTCAGGGAGTCTCGCCACCCATAGATGTATCTTTCAATCACACAGATAAAAGAATTTATATCTGCTTTTTCAATAAAAATGTCATCATAATTTCAAAATATCAATGTTAATGAAATTTTGTTTCATTTCATTAAATTTAAAATAAATCAGCGAAATAGGCGATGGAGTCTTATTCTTTATTCATTTTTAAATAAATTTTGCCTAGACTAAAATTTAAATACAATTTAGTTACAATTTTTAAATACAATTTAATTACAATTTAGTTGGTGATATATTTAATATTAAAAAGAGAAAGTAACAAATAACGTTCACAATTATTAAAATTTTCTAAAGATGTTAACGACGAATTTCTGTAAGAATTTCTAGAAAGGCCATCCAATGATAGTGGGACACCCTGCAGATAATTTTCCATGTAACAACGTATACATAGATAAAAAATTGGGGCGAGTGAAATAATTCATGTATAGTTTACAATTGTACGACATAACGACAATGTGAAATATATATGTAAATACCGAATGAGAGGAGTGCTGATTGTATAATTAAATAAAGTACATTAATAAAATAAAATGGTTTTAAGAAATTTCCATCTAGTAATTAAAATATATAAAGGGTAGATTTTAAGGGTGGATAATATGATTAAGTTGAAGATGAAATTTGTCAATTTATTTTAGGGACAAGAATAAATCGACATAATTCTCTGTTATTTATTATTATGTTTCAGATATAAAAAAAATTAAGTTGTATAACAAAACTTATTAAAAATATAAAAGTTTTTTTATTAGCAAATTCGATTGGACGCATTAGTGTGTAATAGTGCATATTAAAACAATTGAGTATACTGATTTAATTTATGTAAAAATAAACAGCAAATATTTCAAATTATAAAATACAACAGATTTTATAATACTAGATTTTATTTAACAACACAATAAAATGTATCGAAAATTTCATGTATATTTCAGATATAATTCATTTTTATATTTATATTTATATTTATTAAACACACATTTTTACGTTAATTTGTGTATGACGATTTTAATGTACCAGTGTGCATTCTATCGAATTCGCTAATCGTTGTATGTGTGTTACATTCAAAACGAGCCCGAAAATTTAGAGTGCACATCGTTTTGCCAAAATAATTTCTAAGGAAGCAATTTATTATTTTCTGGTCTAGTTTTCCTCAAGACACTTTGTTTTACAAATTAAACCTAAAATAAACCATTAGGAAAATTTACAAAATGATAACAACATAAATATAAAACATTTTCGCATAAAAATTAACATTATTTATATTATTACCATTTTGTAATATTTTTCTATTATCTATTTTAGATTCAACAATTTATAACAAAATATCCTCAGAAATTAGATTAGAAAAACTAGATTAGAAAATAACAAATTGCTTTTTTAAAGTCTAGAAATAGTGACTAAATTCATCATGAACACAGTGTCTGTTTCCAGGTTAAACTGCCAAAAAATATGAATTTAAAGCCTATTCTATAATGAGCTCTTTGTTTCTTGCTTTTTAACCTCTCGCTTTTTTCTCCTTTGCAACGTTTTATCGACAATTGCATTGCTTGCTACGTGTTTTCTGTTTCTTCCGAAGTTCGTAATTTCTCGGACAATATAAAACAAAAAAACCGGATAAGAAGCAAAAAGACAAGATGTAAAAAATAGCAAAAACAAAAAATAAAAAACATATTGTAGAATAGGCTTAAGATCTCAAAATAAACAACAAAATTTTCTTCTGGAAGTTTGCTTTAACAGACTTCTTAAGTTACAAAATTATAGGAATGAATATGTAATTTAGATTTTTTTTTTCTTTTACTGCTTTACAATAATCAAAATACAATTATTGAATGTTTTATTCAAAATGATGGTCTCCCACTCTGAGATAAACATGCACCTACCTGATAGAACGCGACGCTGACTGACAATGTACATTTGTAATTTCTTCGTATGCTTGCATTATCTGCTTTAAAAATGATTAAAAATCATTAATGGATATTTCATTCACTTTTTGCTTCAGAAAAAATAAAATCACAAGAGATATTTATGAACAAATTTCTAAAGAAAATTTTGTTTGTTTTAAAATTCTAAATTCGTATTTTAAGTTTGGCGGTTTAACCCATTTTAATAAATAATAGCTCAAACGAAAACTTTGTCCTTTCTTTTATTCGTTTCCTTGAAAGAGAAATTCACAAATTTTTCCTCCAATTTAATCATACAAACTTCCCGTCCATCTTTAATCATTCTTTGAAAGTATTCTCGACACACGATCGATTTGGAATAGCGTCTGTAAAATTGAAATTTCGGGATATTATTGCTCAGTTACATGCATCGACGGACAAAATATAAAGAGATAATACACGCACGCACGCACGCGCGCACGCACGCAGGACAATACCACTTGAGGAGGAGAAGATTAAAAACTGCTCGTAAAACTGATAATAAGATACACATAAGCGGGTACACATACCATCGTAATAAACGAAATAGCTTACCTCTCTTTCTTTCTCTTTATTTCCCGGATGAGTTAATAATAGCTATATAAAACTATTGCAATAGATGAGATTACTCTCTTTACTCACCTCGGAAGTCGAAAGGATATCCGCTGGAAAGCAGGCCCCCCGCGCGAGCGACATTTTTTTTATCTCATCTACAAATCAATGAGGGAAAATTCGTTCTACGAAGAAACTTTTAGGAAACTCACACAAAACTCGACAAAAAAAAATATTTTTGCAAGAAAGAAAACGAAGTTTAAACACATTCTACTGTCGAAATCTTATTCACGCGAGCTTAACGACACAACACGACAATAATAAAAAAAACTAGTCACACAATTAACAACACTGACGATCAGTTTTATCGAACAGTTTTTAGTCCACGTTTCGTTCTGCGTATATGTGTGCGGCGCGTGAAAACAGCACGGCTTTTCTCGCCAACTAAAGGACCAAGAGACTAAACGTATATCTGGAAACACATCAACCATCCCAATCGTTAAAACAATCGTTAACAAAAAAGGAAAAAGACGTAAGGAAGAAAAATCAAAACATACATACGCACATAATAAAAAACGGTGCAATGAAGGACAAGAACAACAGGTGGCGAACAAGACAAGAACAACCACAAGGCGAGGACATGCAGCACAAAGTAAACATGTGTATTTATATTTTATTTACAGATTATCGTACAAATTCGTATAAAAGTCCTACAAGTGCTCGTGTACTATACCAAACTGTGAAGTTAACTTAAAAAATAAAACGTCTCTATAAGAACAAAGTGCTCTCCTACGTCTCGTCGTCTTCCCCAATTCTGCATCACTGCGTTGTCGGTTCTGCCCGCGAAACTCTTTCGAATACTTATACTATATCTCAAAATCATGGCAACGATCGCATATATTTCGTGACAAACGACAACTTGTTGAATTAACCCTCGAATTTATTCAGCCTATTAAAACTTTCTTTTCGAGAACTTTTTCATGGAGAACGAAAAGTACTTAACATTTGACCATGAGAGAATAAATCCGCGCAGATTATACAATGAAATGATACGAGGAACTGATATCATACAAGTGCAGTGCAAGGCAAGAGAGTGTTGTCAATCTGTGTTGAAACGGCGATTTCGTTCGTTCGAATATAATAGATGAAAAAAAAAAAAGATATTTTAGCTCTCGAACAACCATGCACCTGAGCGCGTCGTGAAGAGTACAGAGAGACGATAAAATTCTGTGTCGCGTCGGTGCGTCGGTATACTAACAGTGCGACAAATACACGCCAAAAAGCGAATACAAGGAGGAGAGAGAATCGGGCACATAGATTGAGTTAGATCAACTACTAAACAGTAGTTTCTAATACCTCTCGACTGATGATCGGCTGCGCCGATGACGAGATGCAGGGCACATTCGTCACCACGGACGCAATAATACCGCTGGCGTTACTATTGTCCGTTATTATGTTCGTCGTGGCGGATGATGACATGTCGGACGCTGCACCAGACGACCAGGTGCTCGGATTCGCCGACGGGCCCATCAGCGGCGAATTATTGCTCGACAATACGCTGTCCGCTGAGCTAGATGCTCTTCTACGCATAGATTCCTCGCTGGATGATTTTAAAAGTTCCTTCTCACGCTCCTCATCCCTGAGAAAAATACAGAGATGAAATAAGATTAAAATTGATCAAATAAATTCGGATTTAAAGCATAAATTAAATAGTAAATTTATTTAAATAATAATTTAATTTAAATTACAATCTTGACAAAGACTCATATATATTTTATAAGAAATTGTTTCCCGATTAGTAATGAGTCATATGGTTTGTTGAAACTTGCAGAGAACTGTGAACACGATAATTTTTGCTTCTGAATATTCTAAAAATTATCAATAGTCAATGTCGCGTGTATAGAGACTAGAGATTAAATTGCACTGAGAGAAAAGTTTTTAATATTTGTGATAATTGTATAGTAAGATAAATATAAGGCGCCATTTTGTTACTGCTATGATATTAGTAATATTTATATTTATATAATATTAAATCTCATAGGACCGTACATGTGAGAACACAATCAATAGGAAATAAATACCTATAATGGTAGCTGGATCTAAGGTGTTTGTATTCTGTGAATTTATATACTATATACATAGTTCTTTAAACTGTGCGCCAAAATGATATTTCACTTGAAACACAAACTCTATTGAATTACCGCAATAATATCACGAATTAAATTGACTAACAATCTCTTATATATTGGCTTGTTAGAATTAAGATCATTCTAAGATCATTTTAGAATGATCTTAGAATGATCTTAATTCTAACAAGCCAAACATGCATCTTATGCGATTTTTTTACAATGCTGTAACTTTTTTTATAATATAATTTGAAGACGGATTGAGACTGAAAAAAACTTTAATTGCTCATAGATATGATAAGCTTGCAAGAGGCTTTTTTTTGCGTTATTCTCGATATAAGAATGCACGAAAGATCAAAGAGGGTACTTGGGACCCACATATGATTAGCTTGTAAGTTTTCGGCATTCTGGGTATACCCCTTTATTTTTTATTAAATATACGTTTACTGAGTTTCGGATAGTATAAAAGTACACGAAAATATATAGAACTAAAAAGAATTATATTTCAATGTAATAAATAGTAGAAATTTTATAATTTCTGTCAGTCTTCAGAGATCGCTCGGCCGGGACGGATTTATTGCTTCAGAGCAAGCGTTGCATCATTTCTCTAAACTAAATCCTAAAAACTTAATTATACGTAGTATAATAATATTTATACAAGTACAATCCTTTATCTACTTATATTATTACTCTTTTATATTGTATAATAATAAAATTTTATTTATTAATTGTAAACTTATAATATATAGATTCTTAAAAAATGTCGATTTTCGATAGTTCAAATAATTATGCTTTTTTGAGCGATTCATATTGTACTGTTTTTTTTAATTAGTCCAAAGAATCAATTTAAAAATTTGAGAATTTTTTATCCAAAATAGTCATTTTTTGCAAATTTTCCAATAAAATTTCTTTGAAGCATTGTAATTAATTAAAGATAAAATATTGTTTATTTGATTCATATTTATCTGTCTTTGTCTGAGGTATAAATTTCACACATTTTGAGCTAAAAAATACGTATTCAGTTTACAGATATAGCAAAGTTGCAAGGATTCACAGATCCTGGTGTGGCCGGGATGATAAATAAGTCCGATTTTCTAGGATTAATAATGCTGGGCGCTGGAAAACATTAAAATCTATAATAAATAATTAATTTTTATTGCGAAAAATATTATTGCGGAAGTAAAGTTCAGTTAAAGTTTTGGATCTCGAGATCGAAAATTTCGATGCGTATTTAAAAGAGTACATAAGTAATATATAAATTCACACGGAATTATATCTATAGTTCTATATATATAT